ATCTTCCGCTGGGGCCAGCGCCCTGCTCCATCCTTGCAGGGTGCTGCCAGGCAGGAGCAGGGTTACGGGACTGGGACAGGTCCCTGCAGCTGTTCCCGTCCTCTGTGCAGTGTCCCTGGTGTCACTTGTCCCCAGCGTGGGGGCGCAGCGCCCCCTGGTGGGGTGACAGCGCAGGACAGGAGACAGGGACATTGGGGACAGGCTGTGGGGACAAGGGGGACAGCCCCTCGACACAAACCTCTCAGTCAGGGCCTTGCCGTGGCCAAGGGGAAGGAGGCAAGGGAAGGGAGAGGAGCTCGCAGGAGAGCAGCTCAGCACCCCCCTTCTTCCCCCCTTCTGCCCCCACAGCAGCCACAGGCACCTTCGTTATGGAAGAGGATTTATCAAAATTAGAAAAAACAACCACACATACAAAAAAAAAAAAAAAAAAAAAAAACCCAATTTTTTTTTCCCCCAACTCGCATCCCCCCACCCTCCCCTCACTGTCACAGTGCAGGGAAGGGACACGGGATGTCTGGGAGGGGAAGGGGCAGGCTGTGCTCCTAGGGCTGCCCTTGCCACCAGGCCACAGGGTAGAAGGGGACAGCTAGCTTATCACTGCTGGGGAGTCTGGAGCTCCTCTCTTGGGAGGCTCCTCAGCAGTCACCTTCAGTGACTTTGGCCACTTGCCTTTGGAACAAGCCCCCCATGCCCCAGAGAGGAGGCGGTGGCAGCCCCAAGACGGCGAGGGGAGCTCTGCTAGCATCACCTCCCGTCCTCCCAGCACGTGAGCTGCTTCTTTTATAAATGCTCCCAAGAGCAGTACGCACAGAGCTGAGCCAAAGGTGGCAGCACTGCCAAGCAGGCAAGGAGGGGAGCCATCTCCTTACCACATCCTACACTAACTTAAGCACTCTCCCATCCCCTAGAGCAGGGAAGTGTTGCCTCCCCCATTGTGGTTTCCATTAGGAGTCATTGGGGAGCCCGAAGAGCTTGACGGTGCCTGCCTCCCGGCTGCTGTCGTATTTGCCATCTTTGTCGTCACAGGCGAAGGCCAACAGCGGCCTCTTCGGGTGCCAGGCCACTGTGAAGGTGGGGGACTCGCACTGCACCTCCCATAGTTTCTCTCCTGCATGGAAAAGGGGCCACATCAGCCTGGAGAGCCTCCAGCCCTCCGCTGCACGCTGCCCTGTAGCGCACACCAGAGCCAAACACCTGCTTCTTCTCTCCCACGCAGGGCAGACGAGGAACAAGCACTGCTTCAGCGCCTTTTAATCACCTGGTGACAAGGCACAGACATGACACGCATGTCTACCACAGACTAACGAGGCAGAGGCTCCCCCTCATGGCGCTCTGCTCTGCACAGCCAAGCTCTTCCTTAGCAGATCGATACTCCCAGTGCCCTCCCAGCTCCACCAGCACGTCTCCATCTGATTCCCTCCTTGCTGTTCCCCAAAAGGAAACCGTTACCTGTCTCCACCTCTGCAATGTCAATGAAGTGATCTTCTGACGCTGATGCCAGCATCTTCCCATCATGGCTAAAGCTCAGCGTTCGCACAGGCCAGTCAAGCCTGCAGCAACAGAGCAAAGCAGACAGTGAGCCATCTCCCGCACTGTCACCGGAGAGGTGAGGCAAACACCTTCAGGACAGCACTACCTACCTTGAGAAGCACCTCACACACACGAGTTCATCCACATCCCAGAGGCTGACTAACGCATCAGCACTGCCCGTGGCAAAGTACTTCCCCATGGGATCAAATTTGATGCAGATGCAGTTTGAAGGATGAGCGTTGATGGACTGAATGGGCTTCAGCTCCGGGTAGCTGCGGAGATGAAGGGAGAGGGCAGGAAGCAGTGAGAGGAGCGTAGGGCTCATCTACAAACAAGGCAGGCTTGGGACTGGGACTGTGAGTGAACCAAGCTGGTGCAGGGCCATGCTCTTGGAAACCTTGAGTGCTGACTGAATGAGGCAAAGCATCAGGGTCACTCTCGGGGAGCCCAGCCCAGAACTGGGGCAACCTCAGTTCCAGGCAAGTTCATTCCCACCAGAGGGCTGGGAATCGCTGGGATGTGGGACTCAGGTTCCCCAAAAGCAGCAAAGGGGCTTGCAGACCGATGTCTGCCACAGCCAGCCCAGCTACCCTGCCCACCCGCTGCCACGGGCGCCTACCTGAGGATGTTGATGCAGCCATTCCCGTTAGTGAGAAAGAACATGTTGTTATCGTTGTTCCAGGAGATCTCATTCACCTCAAACTTGAACTGTTCCTCAGCTTTGGAGCGATGCGTCTTGGCATCAATGAAAGTGACCACATCATCCTTGTTCCCCACTGCAATGGTCTGTCCGTCAGGGCTCCAACAAATGTTGATGTTCTCCCCTGGAGGGACAGAAAGGCAGCGGCTCCCGTTGCCACTCAACAATCCACAGCAGCCACGAGTTAAGAAGACAGGCAGCTTTCATTCCTGATCCAAGGCCACAATCTGCTCCACTAACCCCAAACCTCTCCCAAATGGGAACTACTGCCAAGTCTGCAGTCTAACACACAAATCCTAAACAGCAGCTGTCCAGCAAACATATACAGTTATCTAAAATTAAACTTAACAGAACCACAGCTTCAAGCCAACATGACTGCATCACTGCCCTTCCCATTTCGGTCAAGATGGGACGACAGCAACCACCAAACAAGGTCAGCTCAAAGATCCTCTTAACCCAGTGATCTTCAAGATCCAGAAAAAGCAGAAGCCAACAATAAATACATATGAACGACAGTAAGAATAAGGCAGGTTTCTGTTTGCCATCTTACAACGCCATTTCCAGCCCCGACAATTCAAAACTGGAGATTTCCAAGGGCAGAGATGGTATCTGGGTTAACCAGCCCACGAATTCGAATAATCGCTTTCTGAATCCGCACAAACTTTTACGTCCACTATGGGTCTCTGTAAACATGCCTTTCCCCAGTCTCCAGCCTTGCGACCCACAGATTCCGGACACAAGTACACAGGACATTTTAACAGCCAGCATCATACTTCAGTAGTTTCTCCAGTCCTGACACCAGAGTAAATCAGCCCTTGTGTTCACTGCTGCTCCTTACAGATGAGTGCAATGCAAAGATAAAAGCAGTCAGCAAAGACGCCCCGATCACCAACACCTCCACGAAGGGTCCAAAGCACTGTGCCACTGCAGATGGGTCCCACACAGCAGAAGTTCTGCCAGGACCCAACAGCCCTCCCGGGAAGGCAGGGACTCACCTTTGGTATTGACAGTGGCGATGCACTTGGTGGTGCGGACGTCCCAGATGCGGATGGTTTTGTCCCCGGACGCCGTGACGAAGAGGTCAGGGTTGCTGGGGTGCCAGCAGAGCTGATCCACACTGTCCCCATGGCCCCTGTAGTTGTTCTCCTTCACCTGGAAGGCAAGGACAGGTGGGATGAGCCCAGCTCTACCCCGCTGCTGCCACGGATTCCAGTATGCTCCTCCCTGCTCCACTGCCGGTGACGGGATGGGGCGGAAGACCACCCCAGCGCCCCCCCGCCATTTCAATCACGCTCCCCACCCATAGCCAGGCAGGATGGAGGAGTCCTCCGCACCTCCCCAGCCAGGCACCAGCTCCAGTCCCGGCCTCCTGGCCCCGGCCTGTGGGGTCCTTGGCGACGCTCCTCTTCCCGGTACAGACCCGAGGCCCCGCTTCCAGGGCTGGTACCGACCACCGGGACCCACTCCCGGTTTGAGCCACCTGTCTGAGCATCCGGGCCCGGGGGCAGGGGTCTCTGG